GTCGCTGCTGCTCGGGGGCGCCTACGCGCTCGCCAACAGCTACAGCACCACCCTGTGGGAGTACTTTTTCGGCGCCGCCGACGCGCAGCGGATCAAGCAGACCTCGCTCGCAATCACCTCTGCCACGTCCGGCCTCGCGGTGTGGGGCTTTGCGCACGCGCGCGCGCGCGCCGGCGGCGGGAAGCACTACGGCGAGGCGATGGACGCGTGCGCGTACCTCGGCTTCGGCCTCGCCGCCGCGGACCTCCTTCTCCTCGCCAAGCCCGAGACGCTCGAGGCGATCGTGCGGAGGGCGCCCACCTGGGAGCAGCTGCTCGCGCGGCGGCAGCGCGCGACGTACTTCTCCGTCTCGAGCCAGCTCTCGCGCTGCCTCGACTGCTGCGGGTTGGGCGGCTCGCGCGGCTACCGCTGGCAGCGCCCGCCGCTCGAGGTGGACGCGGATCTGCCGCTCGAGCAGGTAGGGGCCTAAGGCCGCCAGGGCTGGGGCCTGAGCAGCCGCGTGTGGGGAGAGCAGCCGCATGAGGGGAGAGCGCAAGCGGAGCGAGTCTGCAGGAGCGAGTGCGCGACACGTACACGCGTACGCTGCTCGGTGGCGGGCCTTGGCGCGCGCCGTGTCGCTGGGCTGCTGCATGTGCATGTACAGTCTACAGCTTCTACTACAGCTTCTTGCCTTTTTGCGCCAATACTGGCCGAGATGCAGACACCAGCCAGCAGACTCTCTGTCGGGAGACCGGAGAGGTTGACGCAAGTCGCAACGGTATCGAGAGCGCCACCCAAAAGGAGGCGGACAGCCATGGAAGTCACCGAATGGAGGGCGAACGGCACGACACGAAAAGGCAGGGCGAGGCGGATGGAGAAAGAAGTGCCGAGGAGGCCATGGTGGAGGGGAGGGACGGGAGGACGAAAGAAGGGCGAGGAGCGGACGAGCGGCCCGCACAGGCCGCGAGCAGACAACGCCTGCTGGCCATTTCGAGACATTCGCAAAGAACGCTAGCTACATGGCTCATGGGAGGGCTTCGTGAAGGATGGATTGAAAAACATTCGAACAAAGAAGAGGCGACGGGAGGAACCGGCAGAGGATGCAGTGACGTGAGACACACACACACACACACACACACACACACACACACACACACACACACACACACACACACACACACACACACACACACACACACACACACACACACACACACACACACACACACACACACACACACACACACACACACACACACACACACACACACACACACACACACACACACACACACACACACACCGCTCACCCACGCGCACCGGGCCTTGCACTTTGAATGCCGTGGGGCTCCTGTCGTTAGACGTGGAGACGCGAGGGTTGCCCCCCCTTGCCCCACCACCTCGTGTGTGTGGAGAAGTTTACCTTACCTTACCTTAGACCGGAGAGAAAGCGCCAGCACGCCCAGCTTCAGCCCCAAGTAAATGAGGACCATATATTGGAAGATTCTCGCTGTCTTGGGATCTCGATTCTTGATCGTCGCGTAACTTTATTATATACCTTCTTTGTATGGAACATGCAACATCGCACACACACACACAAACTCACACACCATCAATCACAGTACAAACGACGTAGTCAAACGTACGGCGTCGTGGAGGTACGGTATCTCGCCAACCAGTCCACCGGAGCGGTCATTCGACTCCGTACAGGAGCTCCCTCTCCTTCTCCCTTTGTTTCTGCCTCTCCCTCTCCCGGTCCTGCTTGAGCTCCTTGATCTTCTTCTTGCGCGCGGCCTGCGCCTCCTTCGCGGGGTCGCGCGCGGAGCCGTACACCATCTCCTCGACCTTGTCCGTCAACCTTTCGAGCAGGCCCTTCTTTTCGGCGAGGGCGGCCGCGAGCACCGCGTCCTCTTCCCGCTCAAGCTCCGCTGTCGGCTGCAGGCAGATGGCGCTCTTGGACTTGGCGAACTCGCGTAGCTTCTTGGCCTCATCTGGGAGATTCGAGAACTTGGTCGCCGCCTCGGAGTACCCGCGCTCCTTGAGGGCCGCCTTGAGCTGCCTTAGACCCATGCCGTCGATCTCCTGTCGCGACAGCCGCTTGGCCTTCTTCTCCTTTCGCACGCGCTCGGGCTGCGCCGTCGAGTGCGCCTTGGCGAGCTCCATCTCGAGCAGCTCCTCCCCCTCTCCTCCTCCGCTGCCGCCGCCCGCCGACTCTTTCTGCTGCCGCTCTAGCATCCGCCGCTCCTTCTTGTTCGCCTTCCTCGCCTCTCGCGCCATGTCCCCGTCAAACAGCGCGCCGAATCGACCCAGCCCTTCCGCCAGCTCGCCCGCGTGCCGCTGCTCGAACGCTCCAGTGGCGGCGGAGCCGCGCAGCATCCCCGAAGCGCCGTCGCCGCCTTTGCCTGGAACTGCTGCAGCCACCTTCATGAAGCCTTTGGAGCCCGCTGCGATTTCTGCCTTCTCCTCCTCGCTCAGGTGCGGGTCGAGGACGCGCTGTGTCTCAAAATCCAGAGCTTTGTACCATTTGCGCACTCCCGCTCCGCCAGCCCGCTCCCGCTCCGCCAGCATCTCCGACCGGAGCATCTGAAGCGTCTCGGCGTCTTCTGGCGAGAGCCTTGCCTCGGCGGCCTCCTCGGAGGGCTGCTGGATCGGTGCCGCCTCCGATTCCCGGCCCCGGTTGGGCTTCGGTGCTGGTGCGGCGGGAGCCGGGGCCGGGGCCGGGGCCGGGGCGGCGTCGCTAGCTTCCTCGAAGCCAACGACAGCTGGATCTTGCGCCGCAACTCCACTCGGCGGAGACGGCGCCGGCGCAGCATCTGCTGCGGGCGCAACTGGCTGCGGAGCTCCGTCGGTGAGGGTGGGCAGCGCGAGTGCGGGCGGGGGGAGAGCCCTGCCGCCAACTCCGCCGCTTCCGCTTCCGCTGCCACCGCCGCCTCCGCTGCCGCTGCCGCTACCCTCTCCCACGAGCGCCGTGAGGAGGACCTCGGCCTGCTCGCCGAGGCTTCCGGTCGGCTGGAGATCCAAGAGAGCGTTTGCGTGTCGGATGAGCGCGCCGACGCCCCCGTCAACCTCAACGCCGAGTTCCGCTGCGATCCTCGCCGCCATCGCAGGGTCTACGCCACTCTCCTCCCGCTGCTGCTGCGCCGCCAGCCCCTCGGCCTTTGGCACTCCCGCGGGCGCGTCCTTGTCCTGTTCGCCGCCCGCCGCCACGCCACAACCGCCTCCAGTGGCGGGCTTTGGCTTTTGCGCGGGCACGTCCTTGTCGCCGCCCGCCAGGTCACCGCCCCCGCGCCCGCCGCGCCCGCCGCGCCCGCCGCGCCCGCCGCGCCCGCCTCGCCCGCCGCGCCCGCTGCGGCCCAGCAGCGCCAAAGACGGCGGCGGCACAGCCTCCGCCGTGGGCGGCGGTGCGGGCGGCGGCAACGGTGTCGCTTGCGCGGCGGGCACGGAGATGCTCATGAGCGGCGCTGCGGTGCGGGGCGGCCTCGGCCCCCGCGATGCGGGCGGCACTCCGAGAGGCACTTGGAGAGGCGAGTCGCGGCGCATCCCCGTGATGCCCACCCTCTCTGCTCGAGGAGCTCGACTATCTCGGCGCCCTCGCCGTGCAGCTGCCGCGCGCGCGCCAGCGGCGTGAGGCCGCCGACGGCGATCGCCGGGTTCGCGCCGCCGTCCAGCAGCATCCGTGCCAGCTCGACGTTACCCGCCTCGCAGCTCACGTACAGCGGCGTGCCGCCCCCCTGCGGGGCCTTGTTGACCGAAAAGTGCGCCCTGAGCAGCAGCTCCGCCGCCGCCAGGTTTCCCCGCTGGCACGCCGCGAACAGCGGCGTCGAACCGTCCGCCGGCGACTGCCACGAGCGGATCTCGCGCTTGCGAACCAGTGACTTTCTCTTGGCAAGCCGCGCGAGCAGCTTCTTCAGCTGCCGCCGCGTGGCCGGCAAGGCCGGGTCGCCCGACGCCGCGTCGTATATCTCCTGCGCGAGCTCCACCGGCGGCGCCTGCGGCGGCTTCCGCCCCTGCTGCTGCCGCTGCTGCCGCTGCTGCGCCAGCCGCTCCCGCCGCTCCTCCTCATCCCGCCGCTCCTCCTCCTGCTGCTGCTGCAGCAGCAGCTGCTCCTCCCGCTCCCGCTTCCGTGCTGCTGCCCATTCCAGCCTCCGCCGCTCCCGCTCCTGCTGCTGCTGCTGCTGCTGCTGCTGCAGAAGAAACTGCCCCTCGGCGGACGCGATGCGGGATGATTTCGCTGATCTGCTGCCCTCCGCGCACTGCCTTGGCCTTGGCCTTGTCCGAGTCGACCGCGCCCGCTTGGAGCGCCGTTTCCGCGGCCGGGTCCTTCTTGAGAACGTCCTCCGTGCCAGACTTCGCCACGGGGATGTCCTTGACGTTCTTGACGCCGCACGCCTGTGGGCGAGGGAAAGTACGCACAGGCTTTCAGAGACGGGAGAGGGATGATAACGATCCTGGCGAGCGCACGCGCACCTTGGCTCCGGGGAGCGAAGGCGACACCGACGCGGAGATGACGATCGTGATGCGGCCGTCGTCAGCCGGCACGATTCCGACCTTCGCGAAGGACTTCATCGGGGACAACTCGCCCGCGACGTTGCCGCCGCCCGTGTCAACGCCGTCCTTGAGCGGGCTGGGCTCGCTCTTGGGCGGGATGCCGACGGCCTTGGCGCCGGCCGGATCTGGAAACTCCTCTGGAACCTCCTTGGTCGAGACGTTCCAGTCGGCGACGCCCTACGCATCACGCGGGACGGATGAAGGAGTGGGTCGGCAGACGCACGTGCGCAGAATGCCAGGCGCTCGCCGCCGGGGCGGGCTCCTCCACCGGAAACTCCTTGATTGACGCGCCGGACTCGGCCACGGTGACGTCCTCAGCGGGTGCGTTCTTGGCGCCGCTCGCCTGGGGAGAATGGGAGCGTGTTGGGAGGAGATGGTAGCTCTGCGACAAGCGCACACGCACAAGCCTTTGCTCCGAGGAGCGGAGGCGACTCCGGCGCGGAGAAGATAACGACCTTGATGCTGCCGTCTTCGGCCGACACGATGCGGGCCTTCACTTCCGTCTTGTTCTCGGACATGTTGTTGATCGAGTTCACTCGTACCTATGGTAGGGGGCGGTGGGTGGCGCGTGAGTGATATTCACGGGCGGGGGGGGGGGGGGGGGAAATTAAGGTCAAATTTCGCCAATTAAAATTAATTAAGCGAATTGACGAAACTTGATGGGGACAATCACGGGCAATCTCGGGTGGCGCATGAGAACGAGCGATAGAGCGCCTCCACAAAAGAGGTGCGGAAGTGCCATACCGGTCTCGGAAGCGATCTCGGGTAATCTCGGGCAATTAATTATGCTAATTGACGAAATCTCGGGGATCTCGTCAATTTAGTCAACTCGTGGCGCAATGATGCCCCAGAGCAATTCCACGAATTTCGTCAAAGTTCCGTCAATTATGTTAATTGACGAAATCTCGGCTCAATCTCGCCAATCTCGGCTAATCTCCTGCTCTGATTGCTGCACATCGTGTTCCGGGCACCAGTGCTGCTTCTCTCTGCTTTGAGAGCGTCTTTGAGGGGGGGAATTGAGTGGAAGGGGGGCTCAAGAGGGCCGCACCTACTCGCAGCGCACGCAGCTTGAGGCCCGGCGCCAAGGAAACCGCGGCACACCCGCCTCGCCCACGTTGTTTTGGATCTGCGAGGGCGCAGGCGGCGGCGAGCGAGCGTCAGCAGCATAAGATGGGACGAGCATAGCGCGGGCTCGTTTTGGGGGTCGCGGGGGCGCATTAGGCATGAAGGCGACCCGCGGCCGCGCGCTCAGCAGCGCTCAGACCGGCAATCCGATTGTGCCAGATTCGCCGATCCTCGATCCTCGGCGGCTCGCGCGGCGGTCGCAGCACGGCGTGCAGCCGGGCACGGGCTCGCTGCAGTGGTGGTTGTGGGGCGAGGCGAGAGGGCCCGCGCGGGGGCAGCTCTCATCTCGCGCTGCGTCGCGCCGGGCGAGGGGCGAGGCGAGAGGCAACAGGCGAGAGGCAACAGGCGAGCAAAAGGACCTGCAAATCTGGCGAGCCGAGCAAAGGTTGGGACGAGCAAAGGTTGGGAGCGGGTTGGTCGATGGGCACGTTTGGGTACCTTTCTCGACTTCTCGATCGGCACTACTCTAACTCGAGGTCTCGCGGGGCGAGGGGCTGGTTGAGCTGGCGGCGAAGACGGGGAGTGGAAGCTTGAGGTGTTTCTCCGCAACCGTCCATCGTGCACGATCTCCTTCCCTCCTTCCAAGAAATGCGTTTTTTGAAGACATGGCCTGCCCGTAAAGGAAAGGAGCGGGACGAAGAATCGGCGAGGGGCTGTGCGAATAGAGATAGGAGAGGTGCAGACGCCCAAGGGTGTGGGCGACGGCTAGGGGCTAGCACCACACTCCTCTCCTTAAAATCCCTATGTGGGGAGAGAGATTGCTGTGTGTGGTGGCGTGCCGCCGTCCTTTCATCCCTCCCTTTTGACCGTTCTTTCTTTCTTTCTTTCACCGAAAAACGCTTCCAACGAAAAGCGGAGGCACAGAAGTCCTCGACGTCTGGGTGATAAAACAGCTCCAGCTGAGCAGAAGCTCGCCTGTCGCA